TGAGACTTGCTATATTAATCTTCTATTCAGTTTACCATAGGCTGATGTTTCATTTTGTGAACAGACTTGAGAGGGCCTTACCGCCTTGAAACTTACTATATAAACACATCATTAAATAAATGATCCTCTCTTTTTGGTTCAAGCGGTCTGGAATATGCTCCAGCTACAACGCTGTTTTTATTTCCTCATTAAGTGTTACTCAGATGCTGTCTTCAGTGCTATGCAGCTTACAGGGCTCTTGAATTTCTGTGCAGGTGTACAATCCTTTGACATATAACACCATCCCCTGCCTTTATGTTGCAGCCATTTCTGGAACAAGTCATATCCTTCAGTTGCTACATTCCAATCACGGGAGTCGTCCTTCTCACTTGGTTATCTCTGTCAAGTCATATTTACTTTCTTGTACAAGGAATTCAGCCTCTTCTTTTGCAGTTCCCATCCTCTGGCTGGAAGGATATCCGTACTGACAGCCTGGCACGTTCTGTTCCAATGAGGCTCTTGCTGTCGCGCTTCCTGCTCAGCATCCTGGCTTCTCTTGTAGCACCCAAATCCCCACTCTTGTCGCTTCCTTGGACCGGCACTTCGTTCTCTTGTTTCCACCCACCCAGGGCTCTGGGTTCACGACCCGCATTTGCCGCCAGTTCTCATCAGTGCAGCCCCCTCCTGGCAGCATCTTTCCTCGAAGAAAAGTTGGCCGGGGCCTCAGCAACTGTCGCTCACTTGCCAACACCGGTGGGTCAGCAGCCGTTTCCCGGAAGGATCTCCTCTCCATTCTGCAGCCAAGAATGTTGCTTGCGCTCCAGGTTTTTGTCCACAGCGTCATGGTCAGATGTGATGCGCTCTCAGTAGTGCCAGGCGGGATCAAAGAGGAGTGAGGAGGACTCACTTTCAGTTGGCTCATGAGTCTTGGCAACCTGGCCATCGTAGAATGGATTTGTGTGCTGGGAAAGCGGGTGCTTCATGGATTAGGAGATCTCATAAGCACTTCTCCGGAGGGGTCCCCGGCCACCCCCCTGCGCTTCCGCATCCTGCAGGAGGCGGGCACCCCGGCCGTCAGCGTCAGCACCCATCCCTAGCCTAGCCCACTGCAACTGTCCTCCGGTGGCATGGCCAGACTGCTCTTCTTGGCTGGCTCTTTCCCGGCTTTTCTCACACTATTGTCCCTCTCCGCCTTCTTTCTGCGGTGCCCATCTGGCATGTCCACAGTGTCTCTAGTGACACTTCACCAGTCCTCTAACCTTCCATTCTCAAAGAGTAACCCCCTTGCACCTGTTACCTCTGAGAATTCCAGGCAAGATAATAAATATTGCACGCCGTGTCTCCACTGCATCGCTCTCTCAACCATGTACTTTCTTAGCTCTTAATGACCTTCTAAACTCTGCCTTTGCTTATTTCTTCTTTCCCTTTTCACGTGAAGTTCTTTGATTTCCTGTGGTGTGTGCAGAGCGTAGGGAGAACAGAAGCCTGCACTCTGATCACCCTCAGTGCAGCTTGAACAAGCCGCTTCTCCTCACGTGCTCTGCCCTGTCCTTTGGTGTGTTTGCAATCTCCAGAGGCAGGAATGAGTTGACCTTCCAGAAGCACCTTGTCTGCTGTGCCCACCCCAGCATCTCCTGGCAGTCTCCTGTGCATTGGCCAAGTTCTTGCCAGCACTGTGTCTTTGACTGTCTAGGCTTTGGCTTCTGGGGGACAGCTAGGAGAGATCGGGGGGATGCCCTGAGTAGCAGAGTAGGAGCATCATGTTTATAGTGTCTTCAGAGACCCAAGAGATCTCCTTGGGAATGTGATGTTTGTGGTTGCAACACATGCTAGTGCCATTTCTGTGCCACTTGCTTTTTTCCAGGTGTTGGTTCTGCTGCAGGAGTTAAGGAACTTTGGTAGTTGAGAGAGAGAGAGAGAGAGAGAGAGACAGAGACAGACAGAGAGAGACAGACAGACAGACAGAGACAGACAGAGAGAGAGAGAGAGAGAGAGAGAGAGAGAGAGAGAGAGAGAGAGAGAGTCAGTCCACCAATGAATAAGGATTGTGGTACCTTTGTCATAGTGTAAAACCATCGCAGGAAGCTGGAATTGAAGACCATTCATGGACTCTTATCTTGAGGGCTAGGGGTATAAAGGAAAACTAAGTGGTAACGTGCTCCCACCTTGGGAGGCTTTTTCAGGCTCTGTGTGGGAAGGGCTGCTTCTTGTGTGCTTGTGCCTTGCAGTGGGCACTGTATCGTTCCGCCAGAGATGTGGGTGTGTGGCTTCTCTTCCTTTGAACAGCCCAGAGCCTCCTGCGAGAGCATCGCCAGGCAAGCAGCAGAAGCCCTGGCCAGAAGCGGGGTCTCGGCTGCAGCTCTTGCAACAGTCATTCTGTGCTTCAGACAATTTAGATGAAATGTTTGATTATATCTTAGCTCCACTGTTCTTTGCCACCCTGAATACATTTGTGTAGGATGACAGATGAGAAATGCTGAAAGCAAACCTAGCTGGCTGTGGCTCTTCTTGACCCCGGGGCCAGCCACGTGATGCGTATAGGTCCAAGGCTCTGCCCCGAGCTGGCTCTTGGGACTCTTGACTGCCCTGTGTTCTGGCAGAGCCGGATGCAGGATGCTCCCCTGGCCCTTCTGTAGCAGGCACAGTTTGCCGCCGGCAGCCTCGCCCTCCAGGCCCACTTGGAGCTCTGGAAGTACCGCAGGCCCCATGTTCCTGCAGCCGCGTGGGCTGGTGCAACCCCAGGGCGAGTGGTTCCTGTCCTTGCCCCTTTTGTTCCCTTCCTGGCACTGTGGAGGAAGCTGGAGGAAGGAGGAAAGTTGTGAGTCAGTGGAACAGAGGAAACTTTCAAAGGCTTAATGACTTTAATTATCCTGCAGAGAAGGGAGGGAGTTCTCTCCCCATCTTCCTTCTTGTGGTGGGGCAGGCAGGCAGCCACCTGTGCAGATGCTCTCCAGCCCCTCCCTCCCTCCCTCCCTCCGCACTGGAGAGCCTTCCCGAGCCAAGCTGCATGGCGGGGAGGGGAGGGGAAGCCTGGGAAGGAGCAGCGCTGGGCTGGCTCGCTGCTGCAGCCCGTCGCTGCCTGTGCTGCTGCCGCTGCTGCTTCAAAGCGAGTCTGAGAGCAGAGCCAGGAGGAGGAGGAAATGGGAGCAAAAGGGAGAGGGGGAGTTTGCATTCTGTGGTGTGTTTGTGGCTTCTCCGCTTTGATCTCCTGCCAGGGAAACCTGGAAGGTCAGGCCAAGTTGCAGCGAAGCTCTGGAGAACGGAGCACTGCGGAATGCCGGAGTGGCGCCCCGGTTCCCGTGCCCGCCTGCGCAAGCCCCACCGCCTGCCTGCACTCCTGCAGGCGCCTGGTTCTGCTGCTGTGAGCCCCCCCCCCCACTCCGGTGCCGGGGACTCGGAAGAAGCGTCGCCCCTGTTCTTCCCCGTGGCAAGACGCTGAGCAGAGCAGGCCGTGGCATGGCTCCCAGCCTGGCGCGCATGACTGGACCCTGGCGGTGCGGAGAGGGAGCAGGGCGCCCCAGACCCAGGCAGCCGGACCGGCCAGCCCCACTCGATCTGGGCATCTGCGTGGGGATGCAGTGTCCAGTTCTCCTCTCAGGGGGGATGTTGCAGAGCTGGGAAATGAGCAGAAGAGGATAATCCCATCCCTCAGGCGCCAGAGCAAGTCTCCAAGGGAAATTGCCCTGACAAGAGAAGCCCGCAGGGGCATTTTGATTGCGAAAGGGGGCCAGTAAGCAGGACATTGCCAAGGCGCACCGGGTGTGTATTGTGCATCTGATGCAAGTGATGCGAGAGAGGCCTTGCCCTGTTCACCGTTCTAGAACCCGCAGGCCCATCCCATGCAGCTGGTGCTTGAGTGATGCAGGACAGACCAACGGGAGGACCTCTTCACACGGCGTGTGCTTACGCTGCAGAATTGGCTACCTGGGCTGCCATGATGGCCAGCAACTTGGATGGCTTTAAAGGGGAATTTGCCGGATTCGTGGAGGAAGAGGAGGCTGCCCATGGCTGCTGCTCCCTATGGCTGAGCGCTGCCCTCAGGATCAGCATGCCTAAGTGCACCAGTTGCTGGGGAACATGGGTGGGAGGGTGCAGCTGCTGCCACATTCTGCTTATGGATTCCCTGCTGGGGTGCCCGGCGGGCTGCTGTGCCAGCAGATTAGTGGGTTCACGGCCTTTGGCGGGATCCTCCTTCAGGACTTTCTGATACTGGTGAATGTGTTCCTGTGGGAGCACCATGATGGAACTGTGCATGGTCCTTCGCAGTGTAGTTAATGGCTAATAAGCTTTTAAGAGACCGAAGACAGTTCTTTCTCTCACAGTGAGCTTGTAGAACTTGCTGCCACAAGATTTGACAATGGCCCAAACCAGAGGGGGAGGCAGAGTCCGCCAATTGGTATTGGATTCCTGGTTGCCAGACCATAAATGGAGGACCCCTTTCAGCCCAAGGGTTTCTGCCTCTTCAGTCCCGCAGCGGTTGGCTGGGCCAGTGAAGACAGCGTGCTGGAGAAAGTGCCCTGCCGTAGCTTGTTTGAAGAGGAGCCGGCCAGGGGCTGCTTTCCCTTTCAAGAGTTAGGGTTCGGGTGGGGGGCATTTACTAAGGAGGGACGGGCTAACAGAGCCACTGGTCCAAAGAAGGTTTGGCAGAAGGTGACCAAGGACCCGTCCTCCCCGCTGCACCACAGTCAGCTCGAGGGTGGCCCTGGCCGACAGGCGCAGTGGCAGCATCAGGGGAGCGGAAAGCTGCCTGCGTGTTTGGCTGAGAGGCTACATGGGCTTGCTGTGTGGAGCGACTGTCTGTAGAAGTCACGGACTGGCTACCGCCTGTTTCTGACTGTCGTCTTTCTGGTCTGTTACCCTTCCTTCTCCCCTTGCCTTCTGCTAACCCTTAAGGAGCCTGCTCAGACCTCCCCCCACCCCCCCGGCAACGGGATGTGGGGCGGCCCTGCCAGGCCTGCTGGGTGAGAGGGAGGTGTGACAAGGAGGTGACCTGTCCTTTTCTCTCCACCACCTTCTTGCAGGCCAAGCGGGCAGTGCAAAGAGGAGCCACGGCAGTCATCTTCGACGTCTCCGAGAACCCCGATGCCATCGATCAGGTACCCGGTGTGGTTTCAGGGGCGGGGGAGAGCCGTCAGTATTTGCACAGCTGCCCCTTCCTCCCTGGATGATGCTGGAACAGGGAGGGCTGCATTTCTCTCTGGGCAGCCCGGCCTTGGTCTCCTCACCCAGAGAGAGCTGATCGGGGGTGGAATTTATTGACTTTTGCTCCTTGTCTTGTAGTTGAACCAGGGCTTAGAAGACCCTCTGAAAAGGCCAGTTGTGTATGTGAAGGGGGCAGATGCAGTCAAGCTGATGAACATAGTTAACAAGCAAAAGGTTGCCCGGGCCAGGATCCAGCACCGGCCTCCACCGGTGAGACCTTTGGGTGATGCAGGGTGCTTTCGGTGTGCCAGAACTGTATTGCTGTAAGATGTGAGAAGAATGTAGGGAGCCTCCCTTTGGGCTGCAAAGGATGCTGAGTGCAAGTGCCTCTGCGGGGTCACCGGGGGTCCCTGTGATAAAGCGGAAGTTCCTGACAGATCTTGGCCAGAGAGCACTAGACCAAGAAGGTTCCACCCGACGGCCTTTGGCCAATGCCGAATGGCACCGCTGGGCGGGGACGGTGTCTTCCAGTACTCCATTACTGTTTTTAATAAGAGCCTAATCAAAGCAGGGCAGCTGCTCCACAGCACCATGCTGGCGATGGCACCAGAAACAGGGAGGCCTTGATTCTGGATTCCCAACGAGGCGGCCGTTACTTGCGGTGGATACCGTGAGGGCCAGCAGCTGCTGGAGGCAGAATGCATGTGGGGGAGTCTGGTGGGTCCATGCCATCAGAAGATTGGGGAATGCGGAGAGGAGGGATGTAGGAAGCCGCCCTGTCCTGGATCAGACGATCGAGCCCTCTAGTTTGCCTTCCTCAGTGTGTGCCGACCAGCATGGGCTCTCTGCGGTTTGGAGGTGGGAGTCTTCCTAGCCTTGCTTGGAGAGGCTGAGGACCCAACCCAGGAGTGTCTGTGTGCAAAGCACGGCCTCTGCTTCAGAGTGATGTCTTTGCCCTGATCCTGAGCATTAAGTGAGCACTTCTGCCAGGAGTGAAAGTACAAGCAAGGCTTCTTATGCTGTCATGGACGCTGGCTCACTAGCGGGAGAGCCAGGGCCTAACAGTTAACGTGCATGTGGCGTTTGGTGCTTGCCAGAGGAATGGGAAGCACTGGTGCATTTAAGGAAGCTGGAAGGGACTTCTAGCAAAAGCTGAAGCCTCAAGGGACCAAGGGGTGCGTGCGTGCGTGCGTGCGAGATTCCTGCACTGTGCCCATCTTGCCTTCTCTTATCCACATCTGGCCAACTTAAAAGTCCCCGCCTGCTCATGTAATGATCAGCTGTATGTCACTGAGCTGGAAAAAAGCCAACGCTGTCTCTGCTTGCCCCGTCTCTTTTGCTCCAAAGCAACCCACCGAGTACTTCGACATGGGGATTTTCCTGGCCTTCTTTGTGGTGGTCTCTCTCGTTTGCCTCATTCTTCTTGTCAAGATAAAACTGAAGCAGCGCCGCAGTCAGGTAAGAAAGAGTCGATCGCTGTACTTCTGGGAAGGGGAAATGCATCCTGTGGAGAAGAACCATTTTTGGTCTTGGACACCTTGCAGGAAGCTTTCTGGCTAATCCTGCTGCAGCTTTGGAAGACCTTTTGAGAAGTGTGTTCTTTAGCAGTGGTGGTTCATGTCCAAAATTTTAACCCCCCTTTTCGTTTAAATCTTCTTTGTGGAAGCGGGCACTAATACGTTTTCTACCTTCACCCATGGCCGAGACTGAATTTCTTGACGCACTACACTGGACAATTCAATTCCAGTTGAGGGGAGCTGGGGGTTGTCCATGTTTGCTCACACCCTTCTTCTCAGGGGGAATTGTTCCCATGGCTGCCGCCGAGCTGAGCAGTCAGGAGGCGTCCAGAGCGCCAAGTGGCTCTGCAGCAGGGAGTACGCTGCGAGCGCAGGAGGGACAGCGGAGGTGGGCAAGGCCATAGGAGAGCTTGCAGGAGGTCTGGGCTTCACCGCTGGCCAGCCAGGGCTGTCAGTAGCCTCATGCTATTGAGCTGGGCCAGCAGTTGCCCAAGGCAACCAGGGTGACCACAGCAGAGCTCTATGAAGAACCTTATCTCCTTGGGTTTCAAACTGAGGAGGGGCTGAAGAATCAGTGCTGGTGGTCTGGTATGGCTGAGTAATTTTCTTCTGGAACTTGATCAGCCATCTGCACGCGCTGGCTAAGTCTGCTTCATATATGTAGGCCTATGGCAACACTGGTACAAGCAACCATCACTTTTGGAACCTCTTTCAGGATGGTGGCATCACGTACTCATGCCTCTGTCACAAGCTGCCTCGCCACACTTCGCCTTGGAGGCAGCTGAGTGCACAGCTGGGCTGGTGCCACCAAGCCCATGCAAGCCGCAGGGCATGCATCAGCAGCCCCCACACTGTGTTCCACGAAATCCTGGGGTTCCACAAAAGCCTCATAGGAGCTCTGCCAAAAATCTCCAAACTCAAATTTAAAATGGCTTTTAAGATGAGGCCACCTCTTTGTCAGCGAACAAGGAAAATGCATCAGGTCATTTGGCTCCTTGGGCTCTTGCATAGTGTTGGGAATAACTGAAAGAATTCATTTGAGTTACTACCATATAACCACTTTATTCATTCGTTACGTTTAAAATGTTTTCTTTTCCAAACCTACCATGTAATGCAAAGCACACAGGCAAGAGGAGCAGGTGAGAGAACGAAGAGCATTGTGGGTTCACAGTGCTCAGGAAAGATCAGCGATAGATTTCGGTTCCACGGGGAAAAAGTCTTCGGAAAGGTTCCATGACCAAAAACGTTCAGGAAGTGCTGGTGTGGGTGATCCTTCCGTGTGCCACCGCTGCTTCGTGGGGCGAGCAGGGGGAGAGCGTGGTGCTTCTGCTGCCTGCAGCTCAGTTGCTCACCCAGCCCCAAACTGGGTCCCCCCACGAGTTTTGACCACTTAGTCCCGACACAGCCATGCACCGAGCCCTTAGGATCACCATTCCCCCTGTGAGCCGAATCCCACTTTCTTGCCGGTGCCAGCCTCCGAATGGGCAGGAAAGGTTTCTGCCCTCCAGCAAAAGGCCTCGTTGTCCCTCATTCTGCAGAATTCCATGAATCGGCTCGCTGTGCAGGCCCTGGAGAAGATGGAGACCCGGAAGTTCAAGTCCAAGCTGAAAAGCTCCTGTGAAGGCAGCTGCAGTGCCCTGGACACCCTCGGCAGCAGCTCCACCTCGGACTGTGCCATTTGTTTGGAGAAGTACATTGATGGGGAGGTGAGCTGGGGGGGTCCCTGCTGGGGAGGGAACTGCCACTCATCAGGGCAGGTTGCAAGTGCACAGGAGAATGGCCCCTCTTGCAGGTCTGCCGCTGGTGAGCTGCAGCACCCTCATTTCCTCCTTACACGTTTCCCGTGTTCCTTTTGTGAGAGTGCCCAGCGTGGTGCTGCTTGCGCCCCGGCCTCCTTGTGGGAGGACTCCGTCTGCAATCTGCTGCTTCTCAGGGGCCAGTTTGTGCTGGCTGCAGGGAATCCATCTGCGTAGGCGTGGGGACACCATGTGGTGTGCAGAGTCCCTGGCCACTCTGCCGGTCTGTGGCTGGGCAGCAGCAGGTGCGGCTTCCTGGCCTGAGAGGGCGTGAGAAGAGGCAGCAGCCAGCCGGGCTGAGCAGGGGCTTTGGGCAGCACTGCCCAGGGAAGCCTGTGGCCAGCCGTGCTGAGAAGGCGGGCGACAGTCCCTGGCCTGCGGCAGTCCCTCCAGCTGCGGTTGTCCCTCCACAGGAGCTGCGCGTGATTCCCTGCACTCACCGGTTCCACAGGAGATGTGTAGACCCGTGGCTTTTGCAGCATCACACCTGCCCGCATTGCCGCCACAACATCATCGGTAGGTCTGGTGCCAGGAGCACTTGTGGGGGTTGTGGGTCTGCATGTGGTCTCTGCCCACAGCCTAAAGGTCTAGGCGAGGAGGCATTTGTGCAGCTCCAAAGCACGTTCTCTGCTTCTGTGGGATCCTCAGTGGGGGGATTCGTCATGGATTGAGAGGGCAGATGCCTCTCGGGGTGGGGAGGGCTTCCCTTGGGAGCCTGTGGCAGCCCAGCCACCCAGCCTCTCCCCTTGGCTGAGCTTCCTCGCGTGGGATCTGTTTCCTGGCACAGAGCAAAAGAAGGGGGCGCTGAGCCAGGGCTGCGAAGAAATGGCCAGCCAGCTACGCAGCCGCCAGCAGCAGCGCGTGATCCTGCCGGTCCACTATCCTGGCCGCGTGCACAGGGCCAGCCAGGTCACCACCTACCCTACGCGAACCAGCATGGATCCCCATGGGAACCCCATCACAGTCTTGACGGTGGACCGCCACCGGGAGACACCCGCCTTCATCCGCAGCTGCCAGCCCCTCCACCTGGACCACGGCTTAACCGCGCACCCCTGTGCCATGGAGCACCGGGCTTACCCCGCAGCCCACCCCTTCCGGAGGCCGAAGTTCGGGGGCGGCCACCCCTTCTCCAAGCCGGCTTGCTTCTCCCAGTACGAGGCCATGTTCCAGCACTACTACTTCCAAGGCCTGAGCTACCCCGAGCAGGGCGGGCCGCTTCCGCTGAGCATGGCTGCCAAGGGCCCCTCCCATGCCTTCCAGCCTGCAGGCGGGGGCGGCAGCAGCGGCGGCAGCAGACTGTTCACCCCCACGGTCCACGTGGCGCCGTCCTCCCGCCTGGAGAGTGGCAGCAACTCTAGCTTCAGCTGCTACCACGGCCACCGTTCCATCTGCAGCGGCTACCTGGCTGACGGCCCCGGCAGCGACAGCAGCAGCAGCGGCAGCAGCGGCAGCGGCAGCTCGGCCCAGTGCCGCTGCTCCTCCAGCGACTCCATGGTGGACTGCACGGAGGTCAGCAACCAGGGCGTCTACGGGAGCTGCTCCACCTTCCGGAGCTCGCTGAGCAGCGACTACGACCCCTTCGTCTACCGCAGCAAGAGCCCCTGCCAGGGGGCCGAGGCTGGCGGGGCAGGCCGGGGGGCAGTGCTGCTCCTGGAGGGCCCTCACACTCCCAGCCCCGCAGCCGGGGAAGGCCGGCCCGTCCTGCTGTCCATGGCGGGGGACCAGCTCTCGAACTACAGCTTGGAGATGAACTACAGCAGCAGCTCCTCACTGGAGCACAAGGAGGCCCTTGGCCTGGTCTCCGAGGGGGGGGCAGGCTTGGACGCCCTTCCCAGGGGGGTCGGGGAAGCCAGCCAAGCCTGCAGGGGGCCTCGGGAGCAAGCGTGCGCCTGCCGTCTGGAGGCTCCGCATGCGCCGAGCCGGGAGCCCCTCAGCAGGGTGGCCGAATGCGGCGCACTCCTCCTCGGCCCGCCGCTCTGGACAGGGCGGGGCCCCGGGCCGGACCCCCCGGCACGGAGGAATATGGGCCTGCACAGGATTCGGACCGAGGGGGGGACGTGCGAGGCCCTGTCCTGCTGCTTCTATGAAGAGAAGCAGGTGGCCAGCGGGGGTGGCCCCGCACAGCCGGGCTGCCTCGTGGAGGACTGCGCCGTGGACGTGCGGTACGCCTGCGCAGAGGACCCCTTGCCCGGCTGCTTCGTGGGCGTCTGCGACCGAGGCCAGCGCATCGCTATCATTCCCGAGGACCGAGACTGCGAGCTCACCCTGCCCTTGGATTGCCACGGAGGGGGCGGCAGCCCTTGGGGGGGGCCGGGCGGCACGGCAGATGCAGGCCAGCTCCACCTCCCTCCGGGAGAGGCCCGCCGTGAGCCACAGGAACGGCCAGAGTGGCGCTGCCGGCCAGCACCCCTGCGGGAGGAAGCCCCGGGGCTCTTTGCCAGCCCTGCCCTTACCTGCCCCGAGGTGACAGTGGCGATGGCGGCAGCCGGGCCCCAGACCATGGGTAAGTCGGCCGCCCAGCCCACACAGTGTCTGGGGGATGCGGGGAGGGCCTCAGTAGCAGGAGAAAAGGACCGTACGCACGCCTCTTCGCCTCTCTTGCCCTGGCCTCAGGCGGCAAGGCTGAGGGAGGACTCTGCGTGTGCCCCCGTCCCATGGCCAGAGCGGGCCCCCGAGCCCTGCTGGGCCTTCCTGCAAACGTGGCATGTGGGGCCGGCTCTGAGGCGAAGCCCGAGCTGTAACGGGGGTGGCGAGGAGGGGGAGGAGCTGCCAGGGCTGCAGGCGGCCCTGCTTGCCTTCCCCAGCTGGTTCCGCTCCCAGTGCCGGTGGCAGGAAGGGCAGTGGCAGGCAGGGGCACCGGCGGAGTCTCAGGCGGAGTCGTGCTGCCATGCTCACAGCCGAGCACGGGCCTCCGGGCCTCGCTTCTGCACTTGGGTGGCTGCCCTGCCTCTCTTGACCGGCCTTCTCTCCCTCCAGGTTGCTCTTCGGCGGTGCAGGGACAGGCTGGGGACTGACAGGAGGAGGAGGAGGTGCCTCCCACCCTCAGCTGGACTGCAAGATCGTCTTTGGCCGCGGCGAACCCGCGGAAGTGGTTCCCGGGGCAGGGTGGGGCGGCTTCAGCCCCACATGGCTTCCCGGGACCCGGCGTGTTCGTGGAGAGCCACAGCACAGCCACCACTGCCATTGCTGCTGCTGCCGCCGCCGGGCAAGGGGCCTGTCCGAAACAACCGAGGTACACTGTGGACAGAGACGGCCCTCCCACGTGGGGAGGCCCGGCCTGCCTTAAAAAGCAACTAGCACCTTGAAGCGAGACGTGTCCAAAGGGGGGTGGCAGTGAGCCGCCCGAGTCCTGGCACATGGCCTTTCCTTCTTGCGCTAAGTCCAAATGCCGTGGGGGCGAGGGCAGGGATGAGCGCCGCGTGGGGCAGCTTTGTGGATAGCCTCACCTGCTCGCAGCCGGGTTCGTTCCCTTGAGATCTGGGGAGGCAGAATGTCTTGGAGGATAAAGGCTGCCTAAGTGCGAATAGTTTCAGGGGCTCCACTGGAAGAAGAGGAGGAAACATTACGGGGCATGAAATATGCCCGAGGCTCTTCGGCCGTGTGCTTGGACAGATGCTGGACCGAAGCACCACCTTCTGGTCGCTGCTGACTTGTCCAGGGCCCTGTGCCTTCTTGGCCTGCCTTCGTGCTCCCGGGCAGGCCAATCCCTTCTTGTCATTTTAGCATCAATGCATGTTGTCATTTCCACTTACTGTTTCCTGTGGAAACAATCACACTGTTTGCACAACACGGCAGTCCACTGTGGGTTATTGAATTCATGGAGAGGCTGTTGCATGTGCGGGGCTCATGGTTTGGTTTCAGGGTAATGCCAAGGTTGTTTAACTCTTGCCTGGCCTCCATTCACCTGGTTTGCCTGATTTCCTCTGGGACACTCTCCTCTAAAAAAGCAGGAATTGCATGCACAGCTTGGTGCTCCTGAGTCCAGCAGCTTATCATGGGTTAAATAACCCACAATGAACCGTGGAGTGGTGTCCACACCTGGTCAGTGGCTTCTGGCTGCCACAGGGCATGGTTGCACAATTCCAGATGGCACCTCTTCTGTGTGGAACCAACAAAGTGGGAAACCCCAGAGCAGAAGCCAAAAACAGTAGGGCGGACAAAAAGGATGACTCATTCGGCAACAGCGGATTGTTCGCTTAGTTCATTTCAATGGTTAATTTAATGGAAGAAAAGAACCATGTTGTCTCCTGTATTACTTTCTGCTCTTTGGCGACCTCTTCTGTGTGGTCAAGACCAGGCAAATGCACACTTCGGTGTCTGTGGGTACATGTAACTCAGGCGGTGTTCTGTCTTCTTCATGTCTGTACCGGACATTTGGCTATTCCATGCCCAAAATGTGTACCAAGGGGAAAAGATTGTTTGTTTTGTGTTTTAAAATATAATGTGCCTAGATCTCTTCCCCACGCCATGAGAAAAGGGTCTAAACACTTTGTGTCCCGTGCATGAACAAGGGAAGGCCTCCTGAACAGTTTAAAGTAACTCCTGACCAGTCCAAGAGAACAATGGAAAGGCCCCAATATTTTTATCTCTCTTACATTTCACTGTTACCAGATCACACACAGAAATGGTTTGCCCATGTGCCTCGTCGTGCCCTCTGTGATGTCTGTGCAGTTCCACGCATGACTTCTGCGCTGCCAAGAGCGCCGTTGCAGCGCTTGCCCTCTGCTTTCGAGCAGGAGTCCCCTCCACTGCCTCGTGTCTGAAGGGCCAGGCAAGCTGCTCTCCTCAGCTCCTGTTTGAGCTTAAATAGCATGACAAAGAACTCTTTAGAGCTTTAGCAGTGTTTCACCTGCTATTATACTGCAAACAGTATGCATACATTAGAAACACCTTCATTGGCATTTAACTTGGAATTAAAATCAAAAGACCCAAAAGAGGAAGTTTGCGGACCATATGCGGTGCCCCGTCCATGCGCACTACCTAAATTTTCTTCAGAAGATACGCCTTCATTTGGTGCCAGGCTCTCTGGCTCTGGGCATTAAATGCCTTCAGCCTGGTGCCATGTCACTCCCAGCAGCTCAGCCATCTGCTTTGCCTGGTCCACGTGCTCCTGTCATAGCATCTGAAGGAATGACCCGAAAACATCTGGTGTCTCACTCCGGTGCCCCATAGAGCTGACTCAAGTCCAGTGCTGCGGCCTTGGTACCAGCAATTTGCCTGCTGGATGTTCAGGACCTCGATGGCCCCGGAGCTCAGCCCCTTAAGTGCAAACTGCCCTGGGCTTGGTACCCAGCATCCCATGAGAGCCGCGCATCCTCTGTGTGGGTACTTTTCCCTGTGCACATAGGCTGGGGAGCAGGGACACGGATGTCTTGTGAGCTTGGTAGCTGCTCCTTGACCAGATGTTCTGAATGGGCCACGTCATGGCAGCTGGGACACGCAAAGGCGTTTTCCTAGTCCTTGTTCACAGCCTTCATCTTGACACGGCTCAGGCACTGCATGGGGCATCTTCCTCTGTTGCTTGGCCCACCCAAGGCTTTGCATTTAGCTCACATCATTATTCTGGGATGATGGTCCATTGAATTGGCTCTAAGCCTGGGTGTTTCTGACCCCTCTGCCCTTCTCTGGTTTACACCCCGGAACAACAGTTAGGAAAAAAACGCTTTGCCTTGATTTGAAGGAGGTCTGGTCAGCATATTAGTTGGCATTTCAAGGGCAAGCTTCCACCCTGGGACTTTCGGCTGGTATTGGATACTTCACGGTGTGTGGCCAGCAGCTAGCTGCTCAAGTAGATCACCGTAGCAGGAATCAATTCTCAAATGTTTGAAGGAAAAGGCTTGGACGGTGGTATGCTTAGGTGCTGATGGGTCGCTCTCATCGGGCAGGCCTCAGAGGCCAGGAGCCCCAGCCGCTGAAGCTGCCTGCCCAGCACGAATGCTGGGCTGCCCCTGCCTCGTGGGTCCTTGCCTTGTTGACACTGATGTCAGTCCTGGAGCTGCTGCTTCATATTCCTCCTCCTCCGCACCACTCAAGTGACAATGCCTTTTGCGGTGCTTGCCAGTGCTTGAAAAGCTTTTTGGTATGAGGGCCTTTCACCCCGACCTTGCCTGCCTTCTGTACTCTGGAGCAGGCCTGGACGGTCCTCGGGGCTGTTGCAGGTCCCTTCCTTCCCCAGGGAACCTCTTTCCTGCTTTGCTCGCAGATGGTCTCTTCACACAATTTCTTCTCCCTCAGTTCTCCAGCTTTGTCACTTGTCTGTGCGAACGCCTCGCTCAGCGGCTGGTCAGGACAGCACCGTGCCCAAAGGTGAACGAGGATCACTTCCCACGGCCTTTTTTAGGCACCTCGGTGCTCCTGGCCGCCCCCCGCAGACTGGCCTCGTTCCAGCGAGAGCAGAGGAACAGCCCCGTGCGAGTCGCAGCAGGGAAGGGCTCTCCTCCATGCGCACGCGCGCTCACGCTGGTTGTCTGGACCAGTCCTCCTGCGTGCGCCTGTGAGTGGCATGGATGCGGGGGGGAGGCGGGGGGGCGGAACCCCCAACACTGCTTCCTCCTCCGGTCTCCTTTCAGTGAGGACGCCATCCTTGCTTCCAGTATCGCCTGCTGCTGTGCGCAGCAGAGCGCGTTCATTTCGGGATATGATGCGTGTCGCTGCCACGCCTTCCCTTTGTTCTTCCACTTTTGCGAACGGGATGGGACAAACGTCATGCCGATGCAGCCGTGGCCGAGTGGGGAATTCCTTGTTCAGAGCTGCAGCAATATGGGCACCGATGAACCGCGTTTTCCATCTTTGGTCCTTTACTATTATGATAGTAACTGCTATTGGGGCGTGTATACGGCTCTCCAACCCTCACCCTCTCAGATCCTTGGAGGGCCTGTGTAGGAGTGCTCCCCCTCAGGGGCTGCTTGTGTGCCATGCCTCTTCTCCAGGGTCCTTGGGAGGCCTGACCCACGGGCGATGTCCTTGGGCCTGCCCTGTCTTTCTGTCTGACGCAGCTTGTGCACTGACACCTTCCCATTACGGAGGACTGGCAGCACATGACTCCGTGGGGCAGAGCCAGTGCAAGCTCATGCTGCATGTGTAGTGGCATGTCAGAAAGGAAGCGAATGCTCCGTGAAGAGAGTCTCCAGCTGTGTATTGTCACGATGCTCTTTGTGCGTTGATCCTTACTTTTGCAAGGCTCAGTTAAGAATGTAAGGCTCCCCTTCACCTGTGCTGGAACTCTCTTCAAAGAGCTCCTGTTGATGATGACATCAGTGCCGTCTCTGTGGGGCCTCTTCTGGCCAGAGTGGCAGGGCTCGGCCATCACTCCTGCAAGGCCTCCGAGACCGTGTCAGAGATGGGCCAGAGCAACACACCTGTGGATATGACCTCCGCTGCAGGGCCTTTGGGGCCTGCACCCCCTGCGGAGTTCATCAGTCTGCCTTGTGTGCGACTGTACAGACGGCATGGAGAAGAGAACCACACTCATGGGCTTCCCCGTACGTGCAGTTCTCCGAGTCCACGGCAGTCCCAGAGCCCTCCCTTCTTCCCCACTGTTCGTCCCTGCCCTTGACACTTGGAGGGACACACAGTTTTCCTGCTCAAGGGCAGAAGCTGCAAGCTCTTCTAAGCTCTAGAGGTTTCCAAAATGCACAGCTGCAGAACTGAAATGGGCGACTGCACAGATAACACTGCAAGAATTACCATTACAGGTAAAAGTAACTTATTTCAGAATGAGCCACTGATCTCTACACTTAAATTAGCAGCTTAGTGGCAGGGAGGGTAGGAAGAGGCTACCAGGCGTGCTCCAAGCACCAGGTCACGTCATTAAAAACAAACAACCCTCAGCAGGAAGATTGTCTCCCACTGCCCTGCTGTGGCGCTTCAGTTTTACCAGCCTTTCTATTGCATGTGTCTGCAGCTTTTCCCTGTCTGGAGCCCATTCAAGAGGAACGTTTTGTTTTGGTCAGTATAAGGGACCTTTCTACTGCAAAAGGCCTGTTTAATTGTTGCCATCTTGATGGGCTTGTGAGGCACTATTTTTAAAAAAATGAAATTTGAACTTCTGTAGCACTTAAAAACACAGTTTGTATAAAATTTATTGTAAAGATTTGTAATATGGTTAAAGGGCTCTTTCTTACCATTACCATTTTTAATGTTTCTAAAGCTAGAAAACAACTTGTGTATATTCTGTATATTAATAGCAGCACATTTCATTTATGGAAAGATGTTCTCAGAATATTTATTTACTAATATATTTATCTTAAGCCATGTCCTATGTTGCGTGTGTTATGTTGTCTAAAATAATAATAATAATAATAATAATAATAATAATAATAATAATAATAATTGAAAATCACTAACAAGAAGCCGTGTAAATACACAGTAATTGCACACAAAGATTTTACAATGTTTGCTGACCAAAAAGTGATTTTAAATTGTTGTAGCTCTCTACAGTTTTGTAACAAAGTGTACAAATTTCTGTTTAAAACAAACAAAAATACAGTTTTATTGTCTAACTTGAAAGGCATTGTCCTTTGCTGGGTTGAAGGATGGTCAAAGTCACTGCTCGAAATGAATCCCATTGAAATGATCCCTGTGGAGCCGACATGCTCAAGACTAGCTTGACCATTTGAGAAGACTTTGCTTGCTAGAGCCTTGGAGCCTCAAATGTTTCAGCTTCAAAAAGGAAAAAAGTACCTTTAAAGTCTCATCAGTGTTCACCAGGTAACTGCTTTGTTTGCCCAATTCCACCTTAACTCATCTCCCAACTTGCCTACTTTTCTAATTCAACAATGTTTCTAAAACCGGCTCCTCCAAGAAAAATTCATGACTTATGTCATGAACTTTCTCCTATGGAAAATGGAGGAAGGAACAAGAGGAAGGGCTGTCCTTGACTTCATTCTAACCAACAGGAAAGACCTAATGGACAAAGAGGCAGTTATGGGAACTGTGGGAGAAGGTGTCCATGCCAAACTTGAATTCTTGCCCCTAAGGTAAGCAAAACCCGCATGCACTGCTGGTGCTTTGTGGTGGGGGTGAGCAGTCGGCGGAGAGCCACGTGTATTTATGCAGGGACCTGCTTTTGCCCCCTCTGCTGAGCTGACCCGGCCTCACCGATTCTGTCTCCGCAGGAGAAGCTTGGAAACCAGTCGTGTGAAGCGGTGGGGAGGGAGCTGGGACTCTCCGACGGGATGCTCAGAGGTGCCCACAGCTACAATTCCCAGAATTCTCTAGGGCAACATTGCTTATGAAAACAATGTAAATTGGTAATACAGATGTGACTTCCAGCACAGCCACAGAAGTCAGATGGACTGAAGGGAGCCACTGAGAGGGAGATATTCTGCAGAAGGCAGACCACACCTGCCTGGGGGGGCGAACGACAAGGGGGGCAGCGGAACCCCCTGCCCGTCTTCAGAGGCGGGAGGGACGAGCAACCCTTCCCGCCTGGCCGCCCACCTTTCCTTTCCTTTCCTTTCCTTTCCTTTCCTTTCCTTTCCTTTCCTTTCCTCGGGCGGCCATATCAGGAGAGGCAGGAAGGGCAGTTGACTTCAGAAAGCCATGCTGGACGTGACATCAAAACCGCGACTTCTGCGGCGCGGAAAAGTGATGCGCTTTCGGCCCTTGCAATGTTAGTAGTTTGCTTCAGAGAAAGGGCTTTTACCCGTCAGCCATCTTGGGAGAGGCCTGTCTCCACAGAGGCGTAGATCTATAAAAGTGTAGAGCCGGATTGTGGCATATCCAAAGTGCTGCCGCAAGTCCAGGCCCAGCCCGTTTCTCAGGAGGGGCGAAAGGGCTCCGCCGCTGATATTACAAAAGGGGAGGGGTGCGACGACAGAGCCACGGTTTACTGCTCTTCGATACAAATGACACGCACCAGACCGTAAAGTGAGCAGGAGTTGTGCGTGCGGTCTGTGTGTGGGGGGGGCTTTGTGCAGCCGGGCTCTATGCTCAGCGACGGAGGCATCAGCGGCAGGCCTGGAGTGCCCTCGTGTGGCCACTGCCATGAATTACGGAGTCCTCTGGACGAGAGCCCCGGTTTGACATAAGCTGCTAGCTTGGAGTGCCCTCGTGTGGCCACTGCCGAGAACTGTGGCCTGCTGCACCCGCCAGCCCCATTAAGATTAACAAAGAAAAGACTTTCACCAGCTTTTTCTCTCATCAGCCATCCTGTCTTCTGAGCAGTTTTTAATGGTACAGGAGAAGGAAAAGAGAAAAAAAGAATCAGAACCGAGGAGGGAGAAGGCAGGCTCTTCTGTCCCTTGACGATAGCATACGTGAAAATGATCCTGGAGATAATCCTAACTCCAAGGCAGCGCCCACGATTCCCATTCTCCCGGCCCTATCCTCACAACAGCCCTGCGAAGTAGGGCAGCTGCGAGTCCAAGCCTGGAGAATCTAATCCCTACTTCGAGTAGACGCCGAGCAGGAGGAGGAGATCGCGTTCCGGAGGCAGGTGCACAGGGCAGGAGCGGCTCCTCTTCCCCTTCGTACGTCTATGGAACACCTCTGCAAGGCCGGCCACCACTAAAATGGCGGAGGGCTACACTCCCTGTAAGAAGCCACGAACAAGATGGCGCCTGTGTCGTCACTTCCCTCCCCAGCGTGAGGCAATTCCTTGCCTCTCCTAAGATGGCCGCCAGAAGGGGAGGCGCGGCTCTTTTTTGCCCTTCTTCCCCGGAAGGTCCGACCGCTTGGCAGTGCCGACGTGGCCAATCGCAGGCGGGACGTTTCTCCAACGCTTCCTGACCCGGCCCGTCGCAATAAGGGCGTGCACAGCGGGCTTGGCAGCGGCCCGCTCGCTGCCCCCCCACCTCGCCCCCCCCCCCGGCTCCGTCCCTCCTGCCCCCAGTTCTCCCTGCTGGGCCAGGCCGGCTGGCCTGAGTGCGGTGACCGGGTGAGGCTCCCCCAGCCGGCGAGGGCAGCGATTCGGCCCTCGCCATGTTGTTAGTGTCCGACCAAGAGAGCGGGGGGGGGGGG